AAATGAACACACTGCTTGGTAAAAGCCAGTATGGTTTGACAAGAATAAGCCATGCCAAACCAATCTGATTGAGTTTAACTAATCACAGTAATACAGTAGACATAGTATTACTTAACATTGGCAAAGCATTCAACTTTGAGATATTAGAAGACAAGATGATCTGGACTATGCTTTCATTAGGTAGATACAAAGTATGTTGAACAATCATACCCAATAGCTATATGTCAGTAGATCCATGTCAAATTGGAGGAAGTTTCAAATAGCGTATTGCACAACTCCATTCTAGGTCCTCTGTTGTTCAACATGTTTATGAATCCACTACATGTCCAAAACACATTGCAGCAGATAGAACCTCTTAGGAGAGGAATGAGGAACATCAAAGACTGGGAGAGTTCAGTGTCTCAAGTATTATGTAATACAGAGCTACAGTCTCTATTAAAAAGTCTCTAAAAAGAATCAACAGACAGTATCAAAATTCTAAACAGTATTGACAAGCCAAATAGCAAGAAAAAGTTCAGGCAGAATGAATATAAAACGGTAATTTTGAGTAGAAAAGATCAAAGGCATAACTATAGTTGGAAGGGGACAATAGTGGACATAGTCTGCATCAATAAAAGTATAGTATCAAGATCTAGATGAGTTCTTGTTGTCTATTCTGTGGTCAGACCACTGAATATTGAATGCAATTCAATGCAATTCTGGGCACTGCATTTTAGGAAGGACACTGATAAGAGCAAGTTCAGGACAGTGCAACCAAAATAATAATGGGACTGGAAAGAAAAACATCTGACGAATATTTGAAGCACTGCAGGGAGATCTGCTAGCTTTCCAAGTATATGAAGAAGTCATGTAGAAAACAGGACACAATTGTTTCAGGACTGGACACGAAACAGTGGATTTATATTACAAGAAAATATATGTCAGTTTGTGAGCAGGAAAATGCTGTAATGATTACAGCTGTCCAGGGTGCTTGAGTGTGTTCTCTTTACTTGGAGCTGGTTAAATAGGTGTTGGGTAGGAATTCCCACATTGGACAGAAGGATGGACTAGAATCTGTGTTCCCCAACATGCTGGCTGGGGAATTTTGGAGTTTGTCCACATAATCAGTATTGTCTACACTGACAATATGATCCTGTTGAGTTACTTTGAATTAAGTTCATTGGCATTTTTTCCCTTGAAACTGGGTATTATAACTGAGGCTGAATGGAGCTGAATTTCCAGATAACTGCAGGTATCAAGTGGCCCTCTCTTTAGGATTATAGAAAGGGTTCTATTTCCAGATCTACTCAAAGACCAAATCTTAAATATCTGACCTTCAAAACATGGGTTATAATATCCCCTTTACACTCTGCTTCCCTACTATTTAGGTGGTTGAAGTTGGATGCTGCTGCAGTTTTGCTAAAGTTAAATACATCTCAGCAACTCTGGTTGCTGCATAAATGAAAGACTACCTTACTTTCCATGACGGAAGAAAAGTGAAAAAGGGTAATGAGCTTAATGGAACAAATCTACCAAATTTATTGTCCTGCTATATTATTATTTTCTTTACCAATTGTCCTTGAGTAGTTAGTAAATAAAATTAAAATAGATTGTCAAAAGCTGCAGAGATCTGATTCCTTTTCTTTATGTTCTCACAATGCAAGCACACTTTATAGGCAAGGGAATTCTTGACATAAAAATGCCAATCCCCAGAGCAAACTTGTGTCCTCTTTGTTTTTCTTTTTTTCTTTTAGAAAAACTTCAAGTTGGCTGACAATGTATACATTTCCCATACAACATGCACATGATGAAAAGAAAATCTTTCTATAAGTTTAACTGTGACCAAATATTTGTGAACCCTCCCTTTCATTTGCATATTTATGAATTTTGCAAAATCTGTATGATGGGTAGAATAATATTATAGAATTCAATTTATTTACTTTAGTTAAGCAATATTCCACGATGAATTCAGGGCAATATTGATCAGGGGAAAGAGGAGACTGAGCCTTAGAACCCTGCTTTGAGGGTTTCCTTAAGGTTTTACCTTCTTCCCATCCCTGTTAAACATCTGTATGAAACCAATGGGCATGAGGTGAGGTATCATCAGGACACTAATGAGACTTAATTTTCTCTCCCCATCTCTGGTTGATCAAGCTATGCCATCAAAATTCTTTCCCAATATTGGGAAGCCGTGGGGACTCCAGATAGGAAAGGAAAGGTCTGAGCTAATGGTGTAGGGTTCCTGCCTGAGCAGAGGGTTGGACTCGATGACCTCCAAGGTCCCTTCCAACTTATTATTATTATTATTATTATTATTGATCATCGCACAGTCAGCCAGATGTTCAGACTGGATTTGGCATTTTGTCTACCTATCCTTACCCGGGACCTGGGATAGGCAGATGTGGATGTTTGATGGTATTACAGATATTGTCGCAGGATGGAATCAGTTCCTAATAAGGCTGCCTTTTGCAATTGACTAATAGCGAACTTGTCAATGCCAATGGTGTTCAAGTGGTGCTCCAGTTGTTTTGGGATTGCACCCAAGGAGCCTATTGCTATTGGTACTACCCTTGCTTGCTTTTGCCACAGTCTTTCTATTTCTATTTGTAGGACTTTGTATTTTGTTATCTTCTCCAGTTCTTTCTCTTCTATTCTGCTGTCTCCAGGCACTGCCACGTCCACTATTCAGACTTTTTTGTCTTTCTTATTGACAATTGTTAAGTCTGGGGTGTTATGTTGCAGGTGCTTGTCTGTCTGTTTGAATTATTATTATTATTATCGATCATCGCACAGTCAGCCAGATGTTCAGACTGGATTTGGCATTTTGTCTACCTATCGAGTCCTTACCCAGGACCTGGGATAGGCAGATGTGGATGTTTGATGGTATTACAGATATCGTCGCAGGATGGAAGCAGTTCATAATAAGGCTGCCTTTTGCAATTGACTAATAGCGAATTTGTCAATGCCAATGGTGTTCAAGTGGTGCTCCAGTTGTTTTGGGATTGCACCCAAGGAGCCTATTACTATTGGTACTACCCTTGCTTGCTTTTGCCACAGTCTTTCTATTTCTATTTGTAGGTCTTTGTATTTGTTATCTTCTCCAGTTCTTTCTCGTCTATTCTGCTGTCTCCAGGCACTGCCACATCCACTATCCAGACTTTTTTGTCTTTCTTATCGACAATTGTTAAGTCTGGGGTATTATGTTGCAGGTGCTTGTCTGTTTGAATTCTGAAGTCCCAGAGCAGTTTAATTTTATCATTTTCTATGACTTTCTCTATTTTATGATCCCACCAGTTTGTGCTTACAGGCAAATGATATTTTTTGCAGATCTTCCAATGCACCATTGTTGCTACTTTGTCATGCCGCTGCTTGTAATCAATTTGTGCAATCTTCTTGCAACAGCTTACCAAGTGGTCCACTGTTTCTTCAGCTTCTTTGCATAGGCGGCACTTACTGTCTGTTGCTGTCTTCTCAATTTTGACTTTGTATGCATTTGTCCTTAAGGCTTGTCTTGTGCAGCCAGAATTAGTCCCTCGGTCTCTTTCTTCAATTTCCTGCTCTTAGCCATTGCCAGGTTTTATTATTATCTGCTTTCCCAGCTATTTTTTTCATGTATTGGCAATGTAGTGCTTTGTCTTCCCATGCCTCTATTCTGTTCTTCATTTGGTCTTTCTTGTAGGCCAGTTTGGTCTCTCCAGTAGTTAGTAAGCCTTCCTGATATACTAATTTCAGTGCATCTCCATCATTGTTCTTCAGATATTCTTCCAAAGCCATTTTTTCTTCTTCAACCATCTGATGTACTTGTAGCATTCCACGCCCACCTATTTGCCTTGGTAGATAAAGTCTATCAATGTCTTATTATTATTATTATTATTATTATTATTATTATTATTATTATTATTATTATTATTATTATTCATATTTCCCATTACTATAGCACCACACTTCTGCAGCATTTTGTAATATTACTGTTTTTATTCCATTGAAAGCATATTCCACATTCTATTTCTATTTTTAATTCATGTTGTTAAGCGGTAACATGTTCTAATACTTTTCTCATATCCCACTCATATTTTCTCACAGTCAATTACTTTTAATCTATCTTCTTTTCCTTCCTTCCTTTTATGTTAATTTTTTTTCAATATTCACACCTGAAACTATTAAAAAATGGCCTGTTCTAATTCAAAACATTATATTCTTCACTAATACTGTTTTCATCATAAATAGCCAATCAATCAGGCTTTCGGATTTATATTCATTCCTTTGCCATATGTACGCATGAATAGATATATGCTTAAACCACTTATTCAAAAAAGGCTTCTTTCTGAATTGATACTCCCACAGCTATCACCATTCTCAATTACAAAGGGGTCTCTGAATGGCCCAATCACTTTTTCATCTCTCCCCAACCATCCATTCATGTTGTCTAACAGCATATTTTTCTTTATGAATCAGGAATCCTTACCATTATTTTTCAAAGCTGGCAATATCGTTGGAGAGGGAGTCTTATCTAAAGCCATCTAAGGAGAAAATTAGATGTCTGAGGAGCAAATATAAACATTTCAACCTCACTGTGAGTGGGCTTCCTCTCATATACTTGTACCAACTGGAAGTCTCTCAAATCTGTTTCAGGGCTTCTTGATTCTCCCCCCCCCCCAAACATAGATGAGTATATTTGTGTGGCAAGGATTGCTATGACATGTGAACAGTACATATTTTTTTGATTTGTTTGGGGTTTTTAAATGATCACAATAGTTAGGTGCCGTCATTAAACCAATCTAACCCATATTGCAAGGTACATGATGATGATGATGATGATGATGATGATGAGAGAGAGAGAGAGAGAGAGAGAGAGAGAGAGAGAGAGAGAGAGAGAGAGAGAGAGACGGAGAGAGAGATGGAGAGACACAGAGACACACACAGAGAGGAGAGTACACTATTAGCAATTTTCGGGCTATACAAAATCCTTCCAGTTGCCACATGCAGACCATGTACTGTAAATTATTCATTACTGCACTTACCATGTCACTACCACAAGCATCTTTATATCATGGTCCCATCTTTTCTTCAGACTCAGAAGAAGCATAGAGGTCTTCTCTGGATTTTGTAATGGGACAGTTCTGAAACTTAATAATAATAATAATGATAAAGTTGGAAGGGACCTTGGAGGTCATCTAGTCCAACCCCCTGCTCAGGCAGGAAACCCTAAACCATTTCAGACAAATGGCAGTCCAGTTTCTTCTTAAAAACTTCCAGTGTTTGAGCATTCACTGCTTCTGGAGGCAGGTTGTTCTACTGGTTAATTGTTCTAACTGTCAGGAAGTTTCTCCTTAGTTCTAGGTTGCTTCTCTCTTTGGTTAGTTTCCACCCGTTGCTTCTTGTCCTGCCTTCAGGCGCTTTGTAAAATAGCTTGACCCCCTCTTCTTTGTGGCAACCCCTGAGATATTGGAACACTGCTATCATGTCCCCTCTCATCCTTCTTTTTGTTAAACTAGACTTGATATGACATTACATTACACTACCCTTTTTCTGCAATTTCAGGCAGCATGACACATTGGCCTTCTCTTAGTAGTTACTTGTTAGCCATTGTCAAGTAAAAGGAAACCAAAATATAAACAATAGAAAAACAAATCTTATGAATGAAGTAAGTTATCACATTAGGAGTTCTAACCTTCTTCAAACAATAAAAGTTATATCCAGTGGTGGGATTCAAATATGTGAATAACCGGTTCTCTGTGTGGATGCCGCTTCCGGAAATTCATTCTGGGCCTAGGCAACAAAAAATTAGCTACCGGTTCTGCTGAACTGGTGCAAACTGGCTGAATCCCACCACTGGTTATATCCTTCTCTTTCAGAAGATGTTTCTGCTGCTGTTGCTCTTTGCATGCCTGTTGTTCTGTGCGTGCTTTATTACCCTGGCATTGCCATGGTAACTGGGCAGAAACTGAAACGGCTGCCCAAAATGATTTCTATCCAGCCACAATCATACTGAATTGACCTGTCAGTCTTGACATTAAAGGAAGCAGGCTTGAAAGTAGGGTTGACAGAAATAATTACTACGGTGGTTGTGTTTTGAGGGGACCACCAGTTACAGGCCCAGAAATGTTTTAATATCAACAGTGTGATTACTATAAGTGGGGGAATTTCATTTTATCTACAAGTTATTTCCTTTTCAAGATAAATACCCTAGTGAAGCCCAGACAAAATCATTAAGAGAAATCTATCTCACCTTGAGTGCAGAGGAAACAATTGATCTACTCGGAAAAGAATGAAAATGGATCTTTATGCTTCCTCAAACATTTTTCAATTTCAAAGTAATCAATCAAGCCAGGAAGAGTCTTCAGGAAAAACATAAGTTTCACCAACAAATTTATCTTCTTAAAAAAGAGGATGAAGTATGTTGACTTAATTACCACCTGTCTCAATTAATCAGAGTAATCCCTGGCACTTAATTAAGGATGATAGTAGATTTTATAACAATTCTCTCCATTTATTCTGCTGATGTCTGATTTCATACCAAATCCATGCTTCTGAAATGCACACTTTAAATGATGGTTAAAAATGTAAATATATAGCGATCAAAATATGTTGAAAATAAAAAATAAATCAATCAGAGACCTGCAAAAAAGAACAAGAAACACATTTTACTTGAAAATATATATGAGTGTAATTTTAATTATATACAAGTCAAACTTCCATTTTCAGCAGGTTTTTTTTAAAGAGCTCCCTTTAATTATTTTTATTGCTTTATAAATATATAAAATACAAAGCAAAATAAAAATAGAAAATTAAGAGAAGAAAAAGAGAGGGGGAAAGAAAATATGAAGTACATGGGAAGAAAGAAAGAAAGTGTTGACTTCCAACTCTTTTTAGCACAGTACAAGATAACAACATTTCAGCCTCAACTTTTTACTTTTACACATTAGTATATAACTAGCCATTTCTATAACAACAAATCTATTTAATCGGAAAGTCAAAGTTTCATTTTTTTTTTCCATCACAAGGACAAAATCCAGAAGTGATATTCAAATAAAAAACATAATTAATTATATTCTCCTCTTTGAATAAAACAGTCAATTTAACCATTTCTGCTTTATCCTCCTTGCTGTGGAAATAATATGTATTTCTATTTGCACTTAATAATCTTTATAAACTATTACCATTTATGTTAACAAAATTCACTGTATTCTTTCAGATTCTTTAACCTTAAAGGGAAAAATACTTTTTTTCATCCATTTTAAAAGACTAAACTTTTCTTTAAAAACATTTTTGAAATCAGAATTTTCTAATACTTTTTTAACTTCCTCTGAACATGCATACTTTAAAGTTCACTACTGAATTTACAATAGATCACACCCTCCAAGTTACCCTGATAGAATAATTTTTTCTTCTTGTATACACCTTTTTTAAAACCATTTTCAGCAGTTTTTTTTAAAAAAATGTTTATATAGGGAGACATAATCTATTAGGAACTACATTCAAGTAATCTTTATTTAGTCAATGAGCAGCACAAAATAAGCAGAGAGACCAATAACACTACAATCCAGCCCCAAAACATCTCAAGTAGGAGAGGGAAGTAGTACAATACAATATATTACAATACTAAAAAACTATCTATAAGACTACAGTTAATATTAAAACTATAAAGAAACTAAAGTCATTACAAAATAGTTCCTAAAACAATATAAAACATTTAACAGTATAACTACAAACCATAGTACTATAAAACTAAAGAAAAAAAGTTAATTAAAAAAAGTTAAATCATCCCTTTACTAGCTTTGCCTTATTTCCATTGTGACAATACAAAACTTAGTTATTGATTGAGCGAGAGGTTTCAAATCTAAAAGAAGTTTTACAAAATGTTTATATGATCTTCCAACATGTTTGCATAATACAGATAACACAAGATTGGTCCAAATGGCTTTCTAAAATTTAGGGTACCACTATGTGGATGTTTCTATCTCACTAGCACTATGAGGGCAGGTATGTTCAATCAATGGAATTTACCTGCCTTCTATTAGGGTTAGGTTAGGATTAGGGTTGGGTTAGGGTGGAAATAATGTTATGTCTACCTTCAAGAATGCTTGTTTTCAGGTTGGGAAAAGTTAGGAGAGATAAATAATGTGCTGTAAATAATGTTATACAATGGGGAGTTCCAACTCACTCATCACATTCATATCCCAAGTCTTCTTCACATACTTTATAATATATAAAAGTATATAAAACAGCTGTATATCAATTTGAAATGCTTTCTTTTATTTTAAATGATGGAATATAAGCTATTTTTCAAACATTTTACTTGTTCTTGATTACTAAGTTGGATTTAAGTTAGATTCTGAGTTAAAGAAGAAAATATTGCATTTGTCTCATCTGAAATCAAATTGGAACTCTGGAGGTTTTTGAGACATTTTATATAATAATAATTTCATTTCTTGTTTAGCAATCAAGAATAATAATCAGGAATATTAATTAATTTGACAAACTACTCATTTAATTTGACCATATACTTATCCACCTTGAAAATTAATTTCACACTGTTGTACTTACAGTATATAATAAAACATATTGGGATAGTAGAATAGTATTGTAAAATATGCTTTTATAAAATAAAAATGATTTATCAGGAAGTTCAGGATATTCTAGACACACGTATGTTACTTAACATTGCTGGAATTTGAATATTTCTAACACAAAATGTCTTTGGGAGATAACATATATAAAGTGTTTCAGAATTGTTTAACAGCAGTTTATGAAAATACATCATAATCACAAGAATTCATTTCCATTGTTATAAACAGACTATAAAGTTCATTTCTGCTTTATGTGTTCACAATTTTCTGCTAGCTTCAGGTTTATCTCTTGTTGTTTACCAGCTTGCCAAAAGAAATAAGAATTGTTTTGGTTGAAAGAAAAAAAGAAAAAACAATTCTTTCACTGTATGTCACTCAGTTATGGAACAAAGGAAGAAGGTTCTTACTTTTGGTGCCTGGATAGAATAGCAGTATAAATCTATGAAAATTCAGCACACATTTAATGAAATCTTCAAGACCTTCTGTTGATAAAAACATATAATAAAATGAAAAAGAAACTTTGTGATAAGCCAGAAAACCAGGGATCCATTTGAGATTTCTAATATTATGATTAGCACTCTATGAAAATAGATTAAAATGAATAGAAGAAATCTTTAGCACCTTAACTGTTACTAGGAATAAAATAAACAAGTGGAATATAATGGCATATAAAACAATAACATTTTGTTTCATCCTCCAGCAATTTAAGAGATCAATCTTCTGCATGTTGGAAGTGTTTGCTATAGGACAAAGATCCTTATTACCATCAAAAATATTTTTTCCAAATTCATCTATTACATGCCAAACAAGGAACATTATAAGAAAGCTTTGAGGGTGATATATTTGCATTTGCCTTTAGATTTGAAAAATGTATTTAAAGTTTTACTTTTTAAAAAAATGTGAAATAATATAGTGATATCCCTACATTAAATGTATGAGCTGCATCTTATAATAGGCATATACAAAGCAATGAGAGCTGTGTTGGTCCTTGAGAAAAATAAAATGTATAACTGGATATTTTTTTAGAACCAATCAACTAGCATAAAAGAATAAAGGGAGATATGATAATATTATTCAGCTAACTGAAGGTATACCTCAAAAAAGCTACAACTTGTCCTTTATTAAGCTAATAATAGGACATAGAACAACCATTTTCAATTACAGAAAATCAGATTTAACTTAAACGTTACTAAAACTCACTAAGGATAAATGCAACAGTGGAATGAATTTCTGAGGGAGATAAGTTTCCCTTTGCTGAAAGCATTCAAGCAGAGACTGATAAATATCTATTGTGATATTTCAGTTTACAGTCTTGCACTGGCTAAAACATATAAAGAACGGTTGCTGGAATTGGGTATGTCTAGTTTAACGAAGAGAAGGACAAGGGGGGACATGATAGCAGTGTTCCAATATCTCAGGGGCTGCCACAAAGAAGAGGGAGTCAAGCTATTCTCCAAGGTGCCTGAAGGCAGGACGAGAAGCAAAGGATGGAAACTGATCAAGGAGAGAAGCAACTTAGAACTAAGGAGAAACTTCCTGATAGTTAGAACAATTAACCAGTGGAACAACCTGCCTCCAAAAGCGGTGAATGCTCCAACACTGGAAGTTTTTAAGAAGAGACTGGACAGCCATTTGTCTGAAATGGTGTAGGGTTCCTGCCTGAGCAGGGGGTTGGACTTGATGACCTCCAAGGTTCCTTCCAACTTTATTATTACTATTATTGATCATCGCACAGTCAGCCAGATGTTCAGACTGGATTTGGCATTTTGTCTACCTATCGAGTCCTTACCCAGGACCTGGGATAGGCAGATGTGGATATTTGATGGTATTACAGATATCGTCGCAGGATGGAAGCAGTTCCTAATAAGGCCGCCTTTTGCAATTGACTTATCACCATTCATTTAGCAACCATTAGAAGTTATCATGGCACTGAAACAAGTGATTTATAACCAATCAACACACTTGACAATTGTCACATGATTGCGATTCAGGCACTTGGCAACCGAGATGTATTTGTGAAGGTTGCAGTAGCCTGGAGTCACATGATCACCATTTACAACCTTCTCCGCCAGTTTCTAACAAGCAAAGTTAATGGTGGAAATTGGATTTATTTAATGACTGTGGTAAAATGTTGTAAAATTGGACATTGACAAACAATGATTCATTTAACAACTTCAGCAGAAGCTCCGATCCCAATTGTATTTGTCAGATGAAGAATACCTATAGTTGGATAGTATGGAATATATTGTTTATACTCTAAATCAGGACTTTTCATATACCATCTGTGGTACTTTGGCACATGGCATGTGGTACACAACCATCCTAGAGAAGTGTAGTGGGGGAGGGGAATGAGCCAAAGTGACCCAAGCCTGAGGGAGGGGCAGCTGGAGCTGTAGGACTGTCAGGATTTGGCAGAAGCCTCAGGGGTGCCAGCAGGGCTCCAGCTGATTGGCGCTTCTGGAAGCAGTGCGGAGCTGGAGGTAAACTGGAGAAAAAGGGGGGAGGAGAGGAATAAAAGGAGGTGGTTTGGCGGGAAAGGGGAAAAAAAATAACAGGGAAAGAGAAGGGGACCGAGAAGAAGCTGTGGAAGGAAAGCTCAGCAGGCAGGGAGGAAAAAGAGACAGGGAAGAAGAAGAAGCTGTTGCTGGAAGAAAAGGTCCCCTGGTTTGTTTTCTCCAGCAAGGAGAATGTAATCAGCGCTGATGAAATGAAAAGCTGGGAGGCAAGCATGTCAGAAAGGAGGTGGGTTTATTTTGTAAGCCAGTGGGTTCCTGATCAGCTGGCAGCTTGAATGGATTACCATAAGGATTTTTACAGTGTTTTGTAATTCAGAGGCTCGGTTTGTGTGCTTTGGTTATTGGAATATTTTAGTTTGTTTCACAAAGTCTAGCAATGAGTCTAAAGTGCCTCCTGTAGGTTTAATCCCTTTAAACAAATGTAATTAGTTTTACCCCCCTTATCTTGAGCCTGTCTATAGCTTTTAGTAAGTTTTCTTTTCAGGTAAACAGGCTTAATTTAAGGTTATCACCAGAGCCTGTTTGCTACATT